TTTCCCGCCGGGTTACTGTCGCACTCGTTTCAACTGTTTCCGGTTGTTTACGCTTTCAGATATTTGTTTACAAACATCGCATACACTTCGTCTCAACCTTTTTTTCTCTGACAAGGATAATAGGAAAAACAGAAAACAAATTTTTTTACTAGTAGGAGAACATAACATCTTTGATTCTAATTATCTCAATTTCCATAACACTTGCTCAAATACGGCCAACTAATAAAATATAGAAAATAAAATTTCACACATCTTACTAGTTAACAATTTTTTAATATCTGCTGTAGGAACCGAGATAATTGAATCAAAGTTTGTTCAACCTGTCGATGCACCATTTAGGAGAACATAACCTATTTAATCCGGATTATCTCAATTTTAATAGTAGCTACTTAATGGTAAACTAATAAAATATAGAAAATAAAATTTTACACATTTTACTAATTAACAACTTTTATTTTTTTGTTCTAAAAATCGAGATAATTAGCTTTATAACTAGCTGTCTTTTTAAAACCTTCTTTTCAGCCTTGCACACTTCCGCACTAATTTATCTCACTTATGAAAAATTATAGAACTAATTAACTAGTTGACAACTAGTTGACAACTTTTTGATATCTGTTGTAGGAATCGAGATAATTGAATCAAAGTTTGTTATAACCTGTCGATGATAAGATGGCTTCAAGCTCAATTATCTCGGTTCATGTAAAAGATACAACAATTTTGTCAACTGATAAAATTTTGGTAATATTATGATAAATGATTTATCGGTTGACAAATTTTTGATATCTCTCACAGGAATCGAGATAATAGAGCTCAAAGTTAAGGTATGAATAAATTGTTCAAACTTTCAATCTTGAGATTCCTTTAATACCCCTCTGATTGATAGACTATCCTGAGACAAACATCCAGAATGTCTGCGCGGAGATAACAAAACTTGTCTTATGACGTGATTAGCTTATCAGTCTTGTTTAATATAGATCACCTTGTTTTAGTCTAGTTTGGAGATCAAAATCTTTCAAGGGAAGCCCCACAATATGTTGCCGCGAGAGCCGCGTTTATCATCGCAGCCTTTCGTCTACATGTGTGAGTGTACGCGTGGTCGAGTGGTCTAAGCTTTTGCCTTCTGTTCGAGAGGTCCCAGGTTCGAACCCCAAAAGGGCCTAATCCTTTTTTTATTGTTTTCCAAAGTGTACAAGGGATATTATAGGCAGAATAAAAGGCATTTTTGAAGGTTTTTGAGTTTTTACCCAATACAATTTTTTTTTGATATTCTAGGCTGACAGGGGAACGTTCAATTATCCCGCTTTCTGTAAGAGATATCGAAAAGCTGAAAACTACAAAAGTGTTGCTGAAATTATGCCAAACATTTTATCAGTTGACACATTTTTGATATCTTTTATAGGAACCGAGATAAGCGTGAAAAATTCATCTAGGTTCCACGAGTTTCTGACTTATTTCCTTTTTTTCTCTAATAATTAACCAAACCTATAAAATCTAAACGTCCTTATAGATATGGTAAACTGATTTCCCATGAAAATTCCCCAAAAAAGAATTTCAGTCAATCGAAAAAAAGGTTTTCGATGTTCAACACTTTTGTAAGCGTCATTTGCAAATCAAAAACGATCAAATCTACACAAAATTCGAGCTTTTCTCACTCATCGATTTGATCATCGATGAGTTTCGAAAAGAGCCGACGCTGGCAGAAATCTCCCCGCCGGTTAGGATCGTCGGAGACATTCATGGGCAACACGACGATCTTGTACGCCTTTTGAATTGTAAAAATGAAGGAAATACTGCTTCGATTGATGACAGAAAGCCAAGCTATGCGTTTTCTACCAAGAAGTAAGGTTGTAAAAAGAAATCAAAAGAGTTTCAGAGGGGGCGGGGATTGAACCTGTGGCTTGTGGGGCGGTGGTCAAAAGCGTTATCCGGTACACAGGTCCTGGGCGCGCATACGCATAATGGATGGGCGACGGAGGACGCGCCGATGAATTGGGTACAGGGAAAGGACGCCGGTATGGGACATATACGGGGCATATGGGGCACACCGCCGCCGCAAAGCATCTCCTCGCCTGGCTTGCTGGCACTCGATGAAATGAACTAAAACGTTGGTTGGGGGTTCCTAGAAGTATCAGTTAAGTTCTATTGTGATGTGATTTTGTTCAGGTCTTCCGATTTCGTACTTTTCCTTTATTATTCCATATTCTTTTATATTTTGAACGACATATTACTGATTTTTCGGAAGTCACTGTTTTGATTTTGAAAAAGACTTATGGCAGTTTCCATTTAAATTTGATATGCAATCAAAATCAGAACAAAATGGGAAAAAATTCGCTAAAAATTGTTTTTTTTTTCATTTGTTCAAAAAATGTCTCACTTTCACTTTTTTTGAAATTGCATGAAAAATTGAAAATTTTTATAATTTAAACTTTGTAATTATTGTATACTTACCAACTTACCTTTTACTCCACCTGAAAATACGATTTTTACAATAATTACAAAGTGAAATCAAAAAAAAATCTCAATATCACCTATTTTGGCGAAAAACATAGCAATTGACGAGTGAAAGACATGTTTCTACAAGAATTCAGCGATTTTTTAGTCTGCCATAACTCTTTTTCACAAAAAACATCGAAGGAATAATCGAAAAACTAGAAATGTAGGCTCGAATTGACGAAAAATTGACAAAGTTGCCGGTGTGGATTTACGGTAAACAATGCGCGCATCCGGGATTTCGGAGTGTTGTAGTCGGCCTACCGTTTCAGACCCATATCGCACACATCGCCCACCCACCTAGAATCCATCTAGGATACGCGCGCATTCGGAACACTCGATTCAGCCTCTCCCGCATCGCACACATATGAGACTCATCGCAGCTCATTGTTCGCGATATGTGTCAAACGGACTTCTAGAGGATCGCATATGGATCGGGTCCTTTATGCGCATCATCGCCCAGGACCTGTGGTACACTAAAGGTGTCAGTAAAGAAGAGGGCGCGGTGGGCGTAGAGTACAGGGTGTCTTTTCGGAAATTTTGAGAGGGGAGTGGGGGAAGCGTGATTTGAAAATTGGAAGAGTTTCTTAAAGAAAAAAACGAATTTTCAGAATATTTTAGGCTTTGTTAAATATCTAAAAATAGAAATAGAAACCCAAATCCTTCAAATAATCCTTCAGAAGAAAATTTCCGAAACTTTTTACTCAAAAGAAAAACTCAAAAGCCTTCAAAAATAGACTCATTCTACCTATAATATGCTTTTTACACACTTCAAAAAACCATAAAAAGAGTTTAAGCCCCACGAGGTTCGAACCTGGGACCTCTCGAACGTCGGGCAAAAGCGTACACCACTCGACCACGCGTACACTCAAGCGTGAAGGCTTGAGAATGCAATGATAAACCTGGCGCTTACGGCAACTTTTCTGGGAACTTCCCTCTCAACTTTTTTGAAAAAAATTTCACAAATTTGGATTTCTAGGCCATGACCTAATTCGAGGTTCTAGGCCACCAGAGGCCCTCAAAGTTTTCTTTTTTCCAGATGGGTCTTTCTCGGAGACTAGGATCGCGGCTACAACTCTCTGGAATGCATCTGTCTCGTTTTTTCGCTAAAAGTGTCTGGTGGCCTAGAATCCCAAATTTTCAAAATTTCGTCTTCCAGATCCTGTTTCCCAAGCAATACGTCCTTCTACGTGGCAATCATGAGACAAAAGTGATAAATTTCAGATATGGGTTTAGGGTAGGGTGGCCTAGATTTCCTAATTTTTTGAAAATCTCTTCCAGCACGAAATCCTCCGCCGTCTGACGTCGAAAAGAGACGCTCAGGAGGTTTGGGAACGATTCAACGACGCGTTTTCGTTTATGCCATTAGCCTGTTTGGTTGGACACAAAATTCTTTGTATGCACGGAGGAATTAGTCCGGATTTAGTGTCTCTGGATGCTATTCGAATGGTATGTCTGTGTTTCCCGGTGTCCAGATGTCTTATAATTTTTTTTCTCAAATTAAAATTTTTTTAAAGATTCAACGCCCGTTAATCGATGTTAACCATAATCGTCTAGCTCAAGACTTGTTGTGGGCGGATCCAGAGGATTTTGAGAGGTTTTTAAGAATTTTGATTTCCAGAAAATTCTGAAAATTCTGAAAATTTCAGACCCAACGAGGCTGCATTTTGTTGGAACAAAAATCGTGGGCTATCGGTTTGTTTCAATGCTCAAGCGGTGTCGGACGCTTGCTGAAGACTCAATGTCAACTTGATTGTTAGAGCTCATCAGATGATGCCAAATGGGTTCAAATTTTTCGCGGATCGAAAACTTTGCACAATATTCTCGGCGCCCAGATACATGAACGAAATTGATGTTTGAATTTTTCAAACAAATTTAAAATTTAAAAAAAAATTTAGAACGCCGGCGCTGTGCTGAAAGTTGCGGCCAACGGAAAGGTGAGCTTGATTATGATGCGGAAGTCGAAAATTCAGAGCAGGCAGCAATCCGAGGAGCTTACGAAATTGTAGGTTTTAAAATTTTTTACTTCCCAAATTTCCTTTTTTCAGCCCCGGCAAGTCTGAATACACATCGTTGGCTGAAATTGAGCGATTTTCAGAGGGGAATTAATTTTTAAAAGTTTTTTTTTTGCTAAATAAGTCGTTTTTTCTCTATATTTTTCTTGTTTTTTAACTCTAAAGTTCCCGAAATTGGAATATTTTTTAAAGGCGCACCGCTTTTCCTGGCTGGGTCTCGCAGCGCGCCAGGCTTGTGGACTCCTCTCGGACAAGAATTTTGGCCGCGAATTTGTTGAGAGTTTTTGAAAAAGTGCTTTTAAAATGGTTTTTCAGAAAAATTTCAGCAATTTTTTTGAATTTTCAGCACTTCAGAATGCTTCCCAGTACAACAGTCGTCTCGAATTTGCCATGGGTGGAGAAATATCGGCCGAGCAAGCTGAATGAACTTGTCGCACACGAACAAGTGGTGAAAACCTGTAAATTTTATAGTTTCTAGGGGTTTTTCAGCTGAAAAACGTGATTTGCAGTGACGAAATTTATCGAGAATCGCACTCTACCGCATCTGCTGTTCTACGGACCGCCTGGAACCGGAAAGACGACGACGGTGTTGGCGGCGGCGCGTAAAATGTACCATCCATCGAAAATGTCGTCGATGGTGCTGGAATTGAACGCTTCCGATGAGCGTGGTATCGATGTAGTCAGGTTGGGGGACTTGAAAAAATTTTTTGAAGGAAATTGGGAATTTTTCAGAAACACAATTGTCAACTTCGCTCAAACCAAAGGACTTCAAGCGTTTGCGAGTGCCTCGGACAAGGATAGCGTCCCGTTTAAGCTTGTGATCCTTGATGAGGCTGATGCGATGACCAAGGATGCGCAGAATGCGTTGAGAAGGTAAAAAATCGTTTTTAAAAAAACCCTTTTTTTTGTCTGAGAATCCACCACAT